CTTAAGACTGGAAGAGAGGTATTTCGACAGCATACGTGGTTTAGCCTTGCTTCGCTCAGGGGAAACTTGCCATTGCCAGAGTAAGGCCAACCCTCTCTCCTACGGCTTCTGAAAGCCTAGCTTGGCATTCCCTGGGGTAAGCTGTCTGTTTTCAGAGCGCATCAGTGTGCGAAAGATCATCAGAGCAGGTCAGGCTTGTGTTGAAATGCCCCATGTCTGTCAGCAGTCGCCTTCCACGCAGAGGTAAGGCTTGGCTGTGGCATCGCTGCCCTGCATGGCCCTGCCCGGAACAGGGAGGACTGCGCTGTGCTGTAGAGTGTGCGATGGCAGCACGGAGACGTTGTGCCTCTGGGCATCCTTGGCACGGGAAGGCCAGAGGTCCCTGCAGGAACAAGATCTTTTTCTTGGCCTCTTGGAGCTTCTTCCCCTGCGTCGAGCTGCTTGACCTCATAACTCTTAATTTGTACAAACCCAACTTACGGGGTGAGGCGAGGCTTCTGGACGTCATCGGTTGTTGTCCCCTCTGCCTTTCCCACTCGCTTCGGTGCGGTCTGGCCAGAGCTGCAGCAGCTTGCTCTGCCGTGTGCCCCGCTCTGTCTCTGTCTTGGGCAGGCACCACAGAATGTGCTTGGCTGCGCCATCTGCATCGTTATGCCTGGGCGCATTTTTGGCCTCCTCAGTGGTTAACAGAAATAGATTTTAATTAAAAGCTCATTATCGAGTTGTCGTGTAGCATTAGTAAATAAAAATAACTTTTACAGCCCTGTCTTGTGAGTCTGTAAGTGGCAATTGGAAGTATTTGACACCACTTTATTTTTGAAAGAATGGAAGAATATTGCATATTTGATTTCCCGTTTGCTCCAAATGGGCTTTAAATCCCAATAAATGGTTGTCTGTGGCACTCCAGCTATCATTCAGTTCCAGAAGGAGAAATAAATGCTGTCTGCAGTCTCAAAGTTATCTCCATTTCAGTTGTAAACTGCTGCGAGTGGTTGGTTTGGGCATCTCCCAGTGGAATGAGGAGCTGACACGGCCCACCCGTTCACTGTTTCCCAATGAAGGGATGCTCTGCTCAGCCCCTGCCCTCTCCCTCCTGCCATCTCCTTCCTTGTCTCAGTGCAGAGGTGTCTCATCCTCTAAAGCTTTCTCCTACATGGAAATAACATCTCGCGGTGGAAGCTGGACACTTCTTCCTGGGGCTTGGTCCCCTTGCTCCGTGGTCTGTTAGACTGTCATGTCACGACAGGGGCTCTGTGCTCTCTTCTCATCTCTGGCACAGAGCTAGCACTTAATAAAATGATCTCTTAAGATGTAAAGCCGTTTTCTGCACTATTTAAGGATAAATTGGTGCAGTAAAATATTTTATAGATGTTAGTAATTTCTTCAAGGTCACGCTGTAACCCTGTCCTGTGCCTCCTGCAAAGCGGCTGCGTTGTGTGGGGCACGGAGGGACCGCTGTGGTTTGCTGCGGGAGGCAGCGTGCCCGGGCTGAGCTGGTGCGTGCTGCTTCATTCTTCTCTGGTCACTTGTGCGTGTCCTTGCCCCCCAGCCTGACCCCAGGGATGGCTGTAGCTCCAGTGGTTTCTGTTTGTGGGGGCAAGAAGGTGACATCTTTGTCCACGGTCCCCGGACAGAGCCAGGTTCTGTCCCCTGTTGTCCGAGAAGAGCTCACGTGAGGAACCTTAATATTAAGTGGTTAACAAATGTCCTTTTTTTCCCCTTTTCTGTGTAGCTGGTGTAAGTTTGTTGTTCAAAGAAAAGCATCGGCCTATGCCAGTGGGTTTGGGAATAGTTCTACCTCCATAGACCCCCTGCTCAACCCTCTAGGCATGGGATGGTTGCACTCACTTGTGCCCTGGCACCCATTTTTCCTGACACTCGGCCTCCTTCCTTGTCACCTCATGACAAGGGGATCTCGTAGCGCTTCTGCTTGTTTTGGTGGCTGCTTTATCAACTTGTTAGCTAAAGAGCAGTTGTGAAACTTGACAGCAAGGTTGTGCGCTGAAATAAATTGTCCGGTCGCCTGCTTGTTGGAAATGACTCTTGGTGCAGGTTAATAAATAATGCAAAGCCTGTTAATAGATGCCAAATGCGATGTCTCCGCTGGAGAAAAAGATGATGCCAATAACCCAGACTGGAAGTACTCTATTCTAGCCACTGGCTGCTGGGTTTTAAGTGTTTGGTGCTGTTTACTTAAAACGCTCTGCTGATAAATTGTTAGTATGCTGTACTTAGTAAAGAACATAAATCCCCGTTCTGCAGAATAACAGCCTTGCAGCGCTCAGCCTGTTTGTGGAGCAGCTCGTTCACGTACTCCTCCGACTCGCCAAATATATCGAACAACTTGCGTTGCGCTCGCGCTGATGGGAGAGTGCAGAGCTGCAAATGCAAGGGGTGATGCCTGCGGCTGAGCAAGGCTGCTGAGGCGACGCGGGCGCATCCGGCTCCGTCCCGCAGGGCGGGGTAAGGGTATCGCCACTGGGAGCTTTTGCTTTATGACAGCATTGTGCCAGCTGCTCTGGCGTATGGCTGAGAGGGGATTTTTCTGCTCTGAGCCTCTTTGTTTTGTTTTTAGGAGCTCGTAATAGCTTGCAAAATTGTCTTTGTGCTTCAGGTGTCACTTTAGTGCGGAGCGGAGGAATGGGGTTATGGGCAGAGGAAGGATGAGAACTGCCAGCCCGTCCTGGCTCGCCCCCAGGCTCTGCCCAGCCTTGGGCAGCAGCTCTCTTCATCACCTGGTGCCTGAGGAGGGGGTCTTTTTTGTGTTTTATGACCAGGAAATGTGGCAGTTAATGATACGAGGCCTCTCAAGTAAGGGCAAGGAGGGCTGAGGTCCTGAACGTCTGTAAAGCGGTTGGAGTTCAGCTGTCAAAAGATGCCACTTGAATGCAGATCGTTATTTTAAGTACCGAGGTGTGGAATGAAATCATGTACGTTGAAATAAACGTGGCTACTCTTCCATTTATATATTTAACGAAGGTAATTCAGCACAGCCAGGGAGGATGTCTGTGCGATGTTACGGTTGGAGACTTTAGCACCGTGCAGGCAGGAACATTAAATATATGTTTCTGCCATAACATATGAGTGCAATGAGAGAGCGGTGGTGTAAAATCTAGCAGTAGAAGCAGTCACTTAAAATATTCCAGGCACCAAATTAAAATTGCAGGGGGGGAAAGCACACAAAGCTCTTGCTTTAATGCTCGGTGCTGGTCTTCGAGACTACCTGCCAGCTTGTTTTACGGAGGAAATATTCGTTGTCGTGTAGAGAATGAGGTTTGGGTGCCTGCATGAACCTCTGCAGGGGCAGTTTGGTGGGGAAATCCCAGCTAGAGCTCGAGGGGCTTGTTGGGGTTGCAGTCCACGGCACGGCTGGAGCTTCCAGCACCGATCCCACGGGATGCGGCAGCCCGCAGGAGCCTGTCCCGGCGAGGTTTGGCGCGGGGCTGTGTGCGTGCTGGCACCATCGCCTCCTGGAGCGATACGTTGAAATGGGGCCTTTGCAGAAAGAGAAAAAGCAAACCCACAAGTCGATAATGCTTTATGCAAAGCGTTTTAATCCTAGTTAAGAAATAGCCTTTTAATGGCAGCCTGGTTTTGTATGGTACAAAAGAGCTGTTTAAATGTGTTGTGCTCTGTTTTGTCTGAACCCTCGAATCAACCTCCCTCTTAAAATGAGTCAGGAGAAGATCTGCAATCGGAGCCATCCTGCGTTGAGCTGGCGCTCATCATGGGGACTGGAGGCTAGCTAAACGTGTGAAATTAGAGTTTTATAATTGCAGCACTGCAACACTTGCTCCTCCTGGTGTTTTTGACCTCAAGGTGTTGACAGTGCTTGATAGGAATTGGGAGGCTGCGGCGAGCCGTCTGGGGGTGGTGTTTTTTAGAGGGTAGCGTCGGCTTTATTCTATTCTGGGACTGTTGGTGTCTGTGTGCGCACCCCGGGAGGGGAGAAAATCGCGCTGTACTCATTTAATGGAATGGCACAGAGCTTGTCCTCAGCGGCTTCGCCCACAAGGCGGCAGTGGGTGACAGCGGGAGTGGCGCGTCACCCGCGCCAGCAGTTGCCGCCATGCCTGGACATTAATATTGATGCTGTCCAGGTGGCACCGAGATTGAGTTGTCGTGACAAGAGAATGTGCCGAGATCCTTTTGCCCTAGGGCTTCAGAGTAATGGCCATATGTCTCAGTCCGGCGATTGTTTCCACCGTGCAGATGGAAGACCAAAGTGGCTTTGGCATATCAGATTCATCTGTTTTATGTCCCTCTTCACCTTTCTGCCTCCCAACGCCCTCTGTTTTTATGAGCAAACTTGAGTAACAACATAGATGGAGCTGCAAGATTGCCCGAAGGACACGGCCTTTGAGCTGGACCAATTTTCTCTGCTCCTGAGCTGATTTTGTCACCAGCATTTTCAGCAAAAAATGCAGTTTGGCTCTATCAAAATGTGCCCCGAGATAATCAGTTACTTTGGGGATAGTTTGTGGGTTTTTCCCCCCCGAGTTCTTTTTCCCTTTTACCTGTGCAGGGTTGGTAGCTGTAGATGAATTGTACATAGATCATTTAACTTCTGATTTCCAGAAGCGGATTGTGCCCTTGGCTGTGAAACCCTGTTGCTTCTACTGGAGTTTGTGCAGCGTTTTCTGGGGCTGCAGGCAGAGATGTTAAAGCCACTAAGAGTGCTTTTTCTTTCCTGCTGGAAACAGGCTGCTCATAGCAGTGCACGGCTCAAAAGGAGCCTGAACACACCCTTCAGGTGCTCTGTTGAAGGGCTGCCAGAGGAGGAAATGGGGGGCTTTACAGCATCATTTCAGTCACAGTGTCACATCTCTGGTGGTCTGCAGATGAGATCAGGTGGAAGGATATACAGTGTGCTTCATTAGGGTGTTTATCTGCACCATCTAAAAGATCTTGTGAGGTGGAAAAAGAGTAAATTTGGTTGAATGGAGAGGAGGTTCTGAAATTCATCATTATAACTCTGCTTCCTCTCTGCTTTCCTACAGGTGAAGTGGAAAGGGAAGGACCTGTTCGATCTGGTATGCAGGACACTGGGACTCCGAGAAACCTGGTTCTTTGGACTTCAGTACACTATCAAGGACACGGTGGCTTGGCTCAAAATGGACAAGAAGGTCGGAACCGCATTTCGCTTCAGAGGTTGTGTGGGATGACAAAGAAGAATGTCCTTTTCCTATTTTTTTTTTTATTACTTGAGGGTGTTATGTGTGGTATCAAAGTGACATCAGTGAAGTGCATTTAAATAAGTCAAGGAAAGAGCTGGCAGAGATACCTCACCCCGCCTCCTTCTGAGCCTCCCACCGTGCACACTGGATCCCCTTGAGGCATTTTGGGAGACAGCCATGCTGGGATGCTGGGCTTCCGGGTGACTGTAATGTAAATGAAACCTGAAAGTTGTTCTTCTATGCCACCGAATGACAAAGCCTTTAGTGGAAAAGTGAGGTTTGTTGTTGAGATGTACAAAGAGCTAGAGAGGAGGAAAATCTGAGGGGTGAAAAGGAGATGGAGATAAGGGAGGGAATGCTTCCCAAACATTCAGGCCTCCAGGTTGCTGAGGGGTGGGTTAGAGAAGTGATAGCTGTGGTTGTGTTTGCATCCAAAGGCTGTGACACTGAGAACAGATGGTAATCAAGACCGTGAGGGAGGTCTGGGTGTCTCGAATGTCACGCCAAGGTTTTAAACTGACATGAATCTGAACTGGACAGTGCCAGCATAATAGCAGGGAACAACACTGAAAGGCAAGAGGAGGCAGTGCAGGGAAAAAACGAGGAAGTCGGATGGCGGCGTGGCAGGATACAGCATCGCTCTGTGGGGTTCGGGAGAGGCAACGTGCGCACAGCAGATCAGGATCAACCTTTGCTGTCTCATTTCGCATGCTGTTTGTTTCTGCCTTGTTTGTTTTCTTGCCTGGTTAGAGTGTCAGAAATGTTTCTTTGTTTTCTTTTTTTAACCATGGTTTCTGAACTACTTAGGTTGGTTCCTCTGTTCTAGATGTCTAAAATGCTTGACAAAAGATGTGCTGATCAGAACAGAAGGGAACTGTGACGGTGCTGAAGAAGCTGAAAGGAGTAGCTGAATGGCTCTTGTATCCCACAGGTTCTGGATCATGATGTTCCAACAGAGGAGCCTGTCACGTTTCACTTCCTGGCCAAATTTTATCCTGAGAATGCAGAGGAAGAACTGGTCCAGGAAATCACACAGCACTTGTTCTTCCTGCAGGTAGGAACGGTGTCAGTACACCATATGTCAGTACGTACAGTGCATTCCTCCACCTCCTGAGGGAGAAGGAGCCAGGATGAGCGGAAGTGTGAGAAGGTTACGGGGTCACACAGAATCACAGAATCCCAGAATGTTAG